AGCCGGGTCCACGCTGACCCGGCCGGGCTCTGCCGCTGCGGCAGGTCCCCCAGGGTTTCTGGTGGCACACAGCGCTGCGCACCAGCCACCCGGCCACCTCCCCCAGGGACGCTCTGCACGGGCACAGCACACGTGAGGTGGCCCCAGCAGAGGGGCCGAGGTCTGGCCCTGCCTGGAAGTGCCCAGGGCTGCTCTGCAGCGAGCAATGCCCTCGGAGAAGTCCAAGATCCTCAAGTTGTTCCCGGTTTGGTGTGGGAGAGGAGGAGGTGACGTCGGGACAGCCGGGAACGTGGCGGTTCTGCTACTGCTCTGCAGTCCCCGGCTTTCAAGCATCCTCCCCCTTCCAGAAGCAAAAAGGCAGCAAACAATCACCAGCAGAAACCAGCTGCTTTTCAATAGCTTCTCCTGGGGGAAGGGCTGCGGTGGGACCAGGCTTAGCTCTGCATTTTATACTTCAAGGTCAAGAGACAGAATAGTGACTGGGATCGTTACTTATTAATGACAATGGAGAACTACCCGCATGCCAATGCACGGAGCCATGCAGAGCTGCGCCGGGCACAGCCCCAGCCCACCCACTTGTGCTGGCTGTCGAGTGGCAGCAACGCTTTCTGCTCCCAACACGTGTTTTTGGATAAGGGATCCCACTGTGCTCCTCCGGCCAGAGCAGGTCCCTTAAGTCCTGGATCTGGGGCTGTTGCAGAGTCTCCCCTACAACAGGAGGACAAATTAGGGGTCGGGGAGCTCCTCGCTCTGCCCTGGCACCCGCTGCCCAGGGCTGCAGCCCACCAGTGCCCCAGACACGCTCCCCTGGGTCTCCAGAGCAGAAACCCCAGACCTTTGGCATGACATAGGTGCAAGGCACTGTCAGCACCCCAGAGCATCGCATGCCCCGGGCCAAGTCCTCCCACGAGATTCACCCACCTCCAGGCAACAGCGCTTGGTGCAGGAGCACAGCAGTGCCCAGCCACGGCAGTGGAGCTGCAAGGTCACGGTGGCTTCAGAGATGGCACTGACTGTGTCCCTGCTGAGCGAGGGGCATTTCTTAAGGCAAATACACTCGCCAGAGAGGAGGGGCCACAGGTGCCCCCAGTTCCATCACCCAGTGCTTCCAGGCAAGAGGATGCTGGGCAGGCAGGCAGGAGGAGGGGATGCAGATAAAGAGGGAATCCAAGGCAGAGGCTGAGAAGCCATCGGAGAACGTGGAGGGTGCTGAGACTCCTGGGTGCAGCCAGCAGCCAGCCCGGGGCCGTGCATGGGGAGGGCAGTGCTGGTCATGCTGTGCGAGTGTCTGTTTAATACTGACATGGAGTAGAAGGGGGACATTGCCCCAGGAAGGGGTGACGGAGGCAGAGCCGGGCAGCCTCACCTTCCTCCACCCTGCCTAGCCGCTGTGGAAGATGCGGATGCACTGTGTGATGTCCTTGCGGCACAGGGGACAAGTGTGCAGCCGCTCACAGCAGGTCTGGCAGCAGCAGACATGGCCACAGGGCAGGAAAATCATCTGGGTCTGCAGGAAGAGACAAAGGAGAGGACACAGAGAATGTTGCTGTTCCATAACACCCATCCCAGCACCCAGGAAATGGGGCTGGAGGAGATGGGGATCACCCAAGGGTGTCACAGCGTGGGAGGCAGAGCCCCGCACCCCGATCTCCATCCCCGAGCACAGCCCAGTGCTGTGCGTGCACAAGGGTCTGGGCTGAGCAGAGCGCGAGTGCAATGGGCCTGAGGGAAGGACACGGGTCAGGGCTGGACCGAGCAGCCCCGCGAACACTTCCCGCAGCTGCTGTGCAGACAGACCGGCGCAGGAGTTCAGCAAGCTCCTTCCCAAGCCTGCAAGGAGCCCTGTCCTGCCTCCCTCCCCACTGCAATGCCTAAGCCTCGGGAGCTGAAGGATGAGCATCCAGGCATTGCCCAGGGCCAGGCTGGGGACACAGATACAGGGGGATGTGCCGGATGCTGCCCCCACTCCACCCCCTGCTCCAGCATCACGCGTGTGCCGCGGTCTCACCTCCTGCTCCATGCAGACAACGCACTCCGACTTCTTCTCATTCCACTGCAGTGGCGGAGCCATCGGGACCACAGGGCTCATAGGCTCCTCGAAGGGAGCGCTGGGTGCTGGGGCTGCAGGGACCTCATTGTCCACCGTCCTCAGCAGCTCTGCAACCACAAGCAGGAGGTCTGAGCACCAGGAGAGCTGCCCATCTCCCACCCACCCGGCATGCATGAGGATGGCTGCAGGCAGATGGGAGCTCGGGGCTCTGATAAATAGGAAAGTGGATGGGACCAGCTTGACAGTGCAGCGCAAGCTCTGCCAGCACTCCCTGCCCTGCCTCTCCTACTCGCACACCAGCCTCGCATGGCTCCGCTCCCCAAAGGGTGGCATCTGGCCCTGCAGATCCCCCCATTCAAGGTTCAGGTACTTGCTGTGAGTGTACAACGTGTCAAAGACCAGGCAGAAAAGAATTGGTGGTACCTGGGATTGTCTTGGCCACAGCCAGGATCTCCTGAGTTCGCTTGAGGATGGCACGCTGCAGACCTGCCTCCATCACGCCGATCTGCGGTGCAAGAGGAGGGCTGTTAGCTCTTGGAGGCGAAAGGAGACTTACGTCCCAAAGGGGACACTGCAAACTCTTGGGCCTCGCTGGCAAGTCCCAGCCATGCCAAGGGAAGCACCTCCATCAGGCATCAAAGGCAGATAAGGGAATTCCCTGGTGCCATTTCTACTACAAAGAGCATCTGAAGGATGTTGAAAGACAGAGCCAAGCTACAGCTCACCCTGCAAGTGCTCTGGGAGAGCTGTCGCTCGCTGGGACGGGGCACAGAGCAGCACTGGCACCTCTCCTCACTGGGAGGTGACACACCAGGAGCACCAACACTCCCTCCTGCCAGACCTGCCAAGGGCATAGCCACGAGCACAGCCGGGCTCGGAGCAAGGGCAGGTTCAGTTGGTGTTGTCCTGCACTGTGTATCTGCTGTCTCGTACCTTTTCCAGGTCACTGGCAGTCATGGTGCTAAGCGCTTGCAAGGATATTCGATGGTGTGCAAAGACTGGCACGTACTGTTCAGCCGACAGCTCGATTAAAAGGTTCACCAGCTGCTGCTCCAAGCCCTCCTCCTGGAAAACACAAGGCAAGCTCCCAGACTTCGCTCTCAAGAAAAGGCACGGGGACAGGCAGCAGCAAGGCTGGCAGCAAGGGCAGGCAGTGCGCTCATTCCTGCCCTCTGTCCTGCTCGAAGCATTTTGCATCCCCAGAGACACTAAAGCTCAAAAGCCCAACAGCCGGAGGAGCTCTGGCCCTAGGCGTTTTATGAGCACAATTCAAAACGCTGTATTTTGGGAAGAATGAAACATAACCAATGGCAGTCAGTGTCTGCAACAGTACCTGCTTTGCAAACTCAAGCCAATATGCAGCACAGGCAGAGCTCAGATCCATCTCTCTGTGGCCAGCCCCATGGGTGTTTTAACAGCACAAAGTCCCTGGCTCAATACGTTAGGGCAGGAATGGACAGGATTTGCTGCATTGACGGACTTGCATGGGAATTTGGGGAGCCAAGCAGAGCTGTTTGGGTGTTCAACTGGAACAAAAAGCCCTGCCTGGAAGGTACTCAGAGTCCCCTGCTCCTGGCAAGCAGTTTGACGGTGGGATGGCAGCTCCCGCTGCAGACAGCTGAGGTGTTGGCTCCTTGCAGACATGGGCAGCCCCATAACCTCCAATGTACAGGAATGAGAGGGGGCTGCTGGGCAGCCCCGCTCCGAGCACGATGGCTAAATGCAGGGCAGCCCGGGGTCTCCCCTAGCTTCTCAGCCTGTGCGAGGGGTCTGTGCCCTGCCCCCTGCCTTAGCTGAACCTGTGGGTCCAGGCAAGGCTGCCTTCGTTCCCCCCACGCTCTGCAGAGCAGAGCACAGCTACAGTGAAAGCATTAACTGCAGGAGCGCCCGTGAGTTTAAGGGATATGTGCTTCTGTTTCAGCAGGCGCTGGTACTGGATCAGCCAGTAGTTCTCCTGTTTGGTTTCGCTCTTTGCCTCCATTTCCAGCTGAAAAACAAACTCATTCATTCAACAGCCCGAGATAACATTGACAAGCAGTATTTAGAAAAGCTTGAGTTGGACGTGTAGGAGGGGAAACCAACAGCCTGGGCTGTGCAGGGCCATTCAGAGCACTGCGATGGGCACAGCTATGGCAAGGTGGGCATTTCTGGCCCTCTGCAGGCTGCTCCCACTTTGACCCCCCACAGCCAGTCTAGGGTTGTGCATCCCCTCCGCTCACTTTGCCCCAGACACTGGAGCCTGGTCTCCTGAAGCTCAGGAGAGTCTGGAGGTCTTCAGGATTACAAGACCACACACAGGGCCCTTGTGGGATTGTGCTCATCTCCCCCTACAACTCCCTTTCCTGATGGGAGAGATTGATGATGATGATAGTGCCTCATGCTGCACCAGGGAGTGGCACTAACTGTGCCCCCAAGAGCTTACATTAGCACTTTCTGAAGTTAAATTAGTCTCTGGATCTGGACACAACCCCTCAGAGCCCTCCTCTGCTCCCCTTTATTCCTGTGCTGACCTATGGACTCCCTCCATGCAGCCAGCCCGTGCGCTTCCTCATCTACAGCACCTAATTAGGGGACTTCGTTACCAGTATTTGTCGCAGTTCTTCTTCCCTTTGCTTCTTTTCTTTGAGCAGCTGCTGCAGCAGGTAGCCGAGTGCTTGGCGTTGCTCTGTGATCACCCCCTGCAACAGAAGGACTCTGGCATCCACATCTCCGTACCGTATAGGTGCAAGCAATCACCCTGCCCCGATTTCCAGCAAAGCACTTACCATACCCAAAACAGTTCCAGCAGATGTGGACGCCCTGTGCTCCATGGGCCCTCAGCCCAGCTGAGCAGACAGCCTGAATCCTCTCCTAGCAGCTGGCATGGCAAACCCAAGCTGCACCCATTTCTTTCAGTCCTGCACTGACCATTATCCCCCAGCACACCCCGGGCAGCCCCAGACCGCGCTGGCCTGCAGCAGCTCTTCACGACTCCATCAGAAGTTCAGGCAATGGCATTATAAGTGTTCACGGTCCCCCTCCTTAACTGAGAAAGACCACCTGAAAGTAGGTCTAGAAGCCTGCAGGTATGCAGGACAGGTGAGGTAGCAACCTCCCCACACCTTTGGGAAGCTTGCTTTCATCGGGGTCTCGCACCAAGCGCCACTGGGTACCAGGGCAAGGTAAGTCACCACTGCAGCCACACCGCTGGGAAATGAGGAGAGGTTAATTGTCTCAGGAACATCAGACCATGTGGCATCTCTGCATGGTTCAGTCCCAGCTAGCTCATACTTGCTGGGAGGATCATTAACCGAGCAGAGGCCAGTAGTCATCAGCCACAAGGACTTCAGATGTCCATGGACAAAGGGACAACATGTCGTTAAAGGGCTGACCTCCTAAAGAAGGTGGGGAAACCTTCACTGATTCACATCTGGACCCTACAGAGGGACAAGGTCCTCTGTTTAAGCAGGTGACAGGAACGCCTGCCTCTCACAGGCAAAACCCACCATTAGCAGATCAGAGATGCTTTGCCCCGGTGGAGGCAGGAAAGCTCTTCTGCATCAGGACCTCCACAGAGGTCAGAGGGACAACTAACGACACGTGGGAGCTGCTCCAGATGAGAAACCCAGGCAGCTTCAGCTAACCCTGAGATGAGCTCTCCTGCCCACCCGCACTGTGGACACCCCATTGGGATTGCTCTCTCCCAAACTGACCTTGCAAGAGACCTGTGCAAACACCTCCCTTTGTCAGGGTATTTTAGGTTCTTCCCACTTTTCCCGATTTACCGAGTTCATTACTAAAGCACCTGTATATTGGGGGAGGAAGCGACTGTCTGCTGCACGGGAGGTATCAAGCATGATTGCAGAAAAGCTTCTGCCAAAGCACTTTGTGGGCACTGCCCGTGCACTGGGGGTTCAATCACAGCAGGGAACCTTTGGGCTGTAGCCTGCCAAACAGCCAGGAGGTATCCAGAGAGATGAAGCTGTCTTACACCTTGTTTCCTAGGGCTGAAGTTGCAAACTGTGCTGCCTGCTGGGCTGCAGATGGATATTTAGGGCAGAGCCTCATTTTCTGCATTCCTCTGGAACTCCTGTGGTCACCTAACAGGAATCACCCAAGTCCTGTGTCATTTGAACTACATCTGCCTGGGGTTCCTTGGTCTTCCTTGCATGAACTTTGGGCAATCCCCCACCATCAGGCCTCCAACACTGCAGCATTATACGGAGGAGCTGCATGAGCTAAGGTAGCATAACCCAAATCTTAAACTTCAAGGTGTCCAGCACAGGGCTTAGAGACAATCCTGTCTTAAGTCAGCGCTTACCAGCCTGCTTGGGTGCACTACTCTTGGAAAGTATATGGTGCTTGCTACCGATTTTGGGCTGACGAAACAAGTGACCTAACCTGGCAAATAGCGCACACCAGAAAACAACGGATGCAAAGGCGTAATAACAAAATTTAAAGCCAAGCTGCTTAAGCCAAACTTGATATTCCTCAATGTGTGACTGCTGATGAAGTCAGCCCATCGAATGGTGAGATGGTGGGGCAGAGCAGCCTGGGAGACGAGGCTTAGAAATGAAGGGGGAGGTCTGACAGCCATCACTGGCAGGTATTTAAAAACAAAACACAACACAACAATGTAAGAAAACATGCGATGCGCGGCAGGCAGGTGTTTCTGGGATAGCCAACACTTGGATCGCAAAATCCTTCCCCACCCAGCAAACCTGGAACTGCCCCATTGCTATCAGGGCGGGCTCGTTTGTCTCTCCCCTGAAAATGCATCGAGATGTTTAGGAGCAGCAGCAATGTCCCCACATTACCATGACAAAGAGGGTTTTGTGGTGTCCTGTGGGTAAATACCCTTCTGACTAAGCATAAAACCACCTGGAAACTGCAAGGAGCAAAAGAAGCAAGTGGAGCTTTTGCGATCCCAGAGCAGAGAGAGGGTGGTGGGGCAGCCCCAGAGCCCTACATACCTGCAGCGTCTCTGTGTCCAGTTCTTGCCTCTTTAACTCCAGCTGTGTCAACTGCAATAACTCTGTTTCTATTAATTTAATCTAAACAGAAGATGAAACATTTTTTACTGACATTTGAAATGACTTTAATTTATGCTCTTTTAAAATGAGGTCTAACTGCTGCCCTGGGAGGGATGGCTCTGCAGAGCTGCCCAGAAGTTTGGGCATTTGCCCTGCTAATGCCCTTCTGCGATGCGTGCTCTTAGGGTCGCTCTTCGTCTTTTGCGTGAGGATCTGTATCCCCTGCTCTCTAACTGTCTCTCTACTCTAAACACCTTCTGTTCAAGTCTAGAAGAACACTGCAATCAGTTTGTTCAGCCAAACCTTTTGCAGCCACTCTGGAAGGCAGCAACTGATTGTCAAAGTCCTCCTAGCACCACTGCTCAAACTGCAGATTAACTGGGGCAGGGTCCTGGTTTCTAGATGCTGCAAATCCCGTAACGATACATGCTCTTCCCAGTGGGGCAACTGAGACACAGAGAGGTGAAATGAGTTGCCCAAGATCCCACAGCAAAGCCAAGATGAGAGCCCAGCTCACCTATCTGCCAGGCCATCTACCATCCCCAGGCCACGCTGCTTAATGTGTGCCACCGACCACAAAATTCCTGCCGACACCAGGGCTCTGCAGCAGGCGGTACCCACGGCTCCTGCCCGTTCACTGCCTGCGCAGGATGCTGGATTTCAATAGTAAAAGGTCCAGCCATGGTATCAAGGAACAAACTCCCTTTGTTTCAAGAGCAAGTGCAAGCAAACTGCAGGGTTCTTATTGATGAACTCAAGCAATGGAGAGTTGTTAGGCTCATCTCCTGGACTGTCCATGCACAATCCATTGGCTTCTAGCAGAGATTGGTCACTGAGTGACTCAATATATCCAAGCTCTTAAGCTTATCCACCAACTCCAGACTTTTCTGCTAGTGTCATATCAGGATAGGGAAGATTCTGGAGCACTGTGTCAGAAACCAGCCACCCATCTTCGTGCATCAACCACTGCTATTTTCTCCACCAGCTCTTGTTCTTCCCCCCGACTATTGCATTGCACCTTCTGCAGAATGGAGCTCAGAAAGGCAGGCTGAGAATGGGAAAGAAAAGGTGAACTTATGGCTCAAGGTGCAGTTCTGATGTGCTGGATGGAGATGCAGTGGACTCATGTGGAAACAGCAGCCCTGCTGAGTACACAACCTGAAGGAAATTGTAGTTGCAGATCACCCCCACAGAGCCAATGCAGGTCTGTCCTCTAGTGACCACTCTCCAGCACTTCATCCGCATCAGTGCTGAGATGACTGAAGCAATGGCCATTCCACCACTACTGTGAATCTAAAACCTGCATTGACACTCCCTCCTATGGAGCTGGGAGACTGTACTTTAACCAACACTGCCCAACGCTTTGTTACAGAGCTCTTAGCAACACAAGAGCTCTTCTTGTAAGAGCAATACAAGACCCTGCTCTATGCTCATAGTGCTTTGATCTTCCTCAGAAGTGTCTCATCAAATGACGGTATGAGCTGAGTAGCTGGTTGCTCTTTCTTCTGTTGCTGACTCACCTGGTTCCTGATCTGCCTGTGCATAAGATCCTTCTTCACTTGGAGAGCTTCAAAGGCAGCTTTCTGCATCTCAATCTAAGGGACAGGCAAAATCCTGCTTAGTGAGGTTGCTGATGCAGCTGCAAATGGGCTAAGAAACCCTGTTACCTTGCAGTGACTCATGTACAAGCACCTGAGCAGTGCTCACTCTGGGCAACAGTGTCCTGATTACATCATGACTTAGATCCCACAGTCCCAAAAGGTAAAACCCACTTTACAGACAGACACAGAAGTTATATTCATGTTCTTCAAACACACATTTTGAATGCTCTGTATGAACCCCACCTCTCATTTTCAGCAGCACCCAGGCTGTGCCATAGGACATGGCTGCCCAGCACTTCTGAAAAATGAGTTGCAGAGGTCTCAGGTTCAAAATGAGGTATTAAAAAGGAGCAGAGGCTTTGAAAATGCTTCCTGTAGGCAGCTTGCCCCAAGTCACCCAGGAAGCCTGCCAAAAAGACAGGACTTCTGTCTCAAAATCCTCTCTATTAATCATCAGACCAGTTTTGCTTTCCATGGTCTGTGCTGCTGTCTTTTCTGAAAATTTTCTGTCTAGTTAAAAAATACATTTTGCGTTCAACCACCTAAGTCAGTTTGTTAGAATACCAGAGATTCTCAAAGTTTAGCACGCGGTGTTAAATAAAACAACTTTTGCACGCAGCCCAGCCCAGCCACCGTTGCTCCTGTGCTCTGCTCTCGATCCTGCTTTCACGTGCAGTTGCTTTCCCTTGATCCCCCCCGCAAGCAGTTTGCTCCCTTGCCTACCTGCTGCAAGATCTGACTAACAGCTTTGCTCTGATCCAGCTGTTGCCAAGCCAGGATTTGCTGGAACTTCTGATCCATCTCAGCTAGGCTGCAAGAAGATGGATTTGCCATGGAGTTACTGCTGGATCTGAGACTCTTGATGCAAACAAGAGGAAAAGCAGGCAACAGGGAATCCAGGAATGGAGAAATTTGTTACTGAACAAGGGTGAAGAGCCATGGCACTGCACAGCTGAAGGCAGATTTAAAACCTCCTTCCCTACAACCAAACCAAACCTGCACCACAGACCAAGCCAGAGCAGAAGCACCGCTGCCTGCATGTGCAACAGCTTGAAGTCCAAATAGGGGCTGCTGCCGCCCGAGCAAGCTGCTGAGGTGATGAATTTGCACGTTGGTATTCTGCACTGGAAAGGGTGTGCTGATGAAGGAGATCCAGACAATGTGGCCAAATATCACCTGCACTTGCAGGCCCGACCGTGCCTGCCCACTGCCGTCTGTTGGGCAGGTCACAGGCACACAAGGTTGTTTCTGTTCAGTGCCAGACACTGCCAAATCGAAATTTCTCACCTTCTTGTAAATAGAGTGAGCCAGAATGCTCTCTGTACCTATAACAATGCAACAAGTCCTACGTATATACAAACAGCATCCTTGAGATAACCCTGGGAAGTGAGAAAAGGAGTTCTGTGCTAGAATTTGACACTGAACCGGCTAACAAAACAGGAAGACCACCAGTCTAATTTCATCCTCCATATTTAGCAGAATGTATAAAGTAAAATAAACAGTGTAAAAAAGTGATAGCTCATCTAAAGTATGATTAACATGCATATTCTTGTGGTTAGAAGGTGGCTCATTTAATTAAGTTTGACAGTTTCTTTAAATTGCATTGTCACCTGCTCTTACACAGCTGTCCTGCTGCATTCCAGTGGCTGCAGGAGTTCCTGGGTGTATATATGGGAATTACACGGGGGACTGCTGGAAAGAAAGGGACTTTACAACAGTACCTCTAGCCCCAGACGTCTCCCACTGTACCTGGAGCAGGCCTGGTTGACAAGGTCTTGCCGACGAGACTCGTAGGTCATTTGGATGAGCTTGTTCTTGTAGCTCTCGGCCAGCATTTGTTGCATGGCAGCTAGGAGACAGAAGTGCTGTCAGTCTGCGTCAGAAGCAGGTGTCTAGAACAGGCGCTCATCTACCACTGCTGCTACAATCACTTGCTATTAACAGTGCCTTCTCTCTCATTTCCAACCTGTTCTTGCTTTTTTCCATTTCATTCATTTCAGAGCAGGCTCATTCAGCTGCAAGAATCATAGCTATTTATTGGGAAATTAGCTGAGCAAACTCCACTCTGCCTGTGCTTGCGTCTCTTCAGCGCTCGGAGGAGCCCAGTCACTGCCTACCGACCCTCAGATGGGCTGCAGCTCTACCTGTCCCACTGCGAGTAACCCAGTGTCTTTGGGGTGACAATGCACACATCATTTCCCTTGCAACCCCAGCAGATCTGTTCATGGTCATCGTGAGCAGAAAAGGCTCCCTAGCATCATTCTTGTTTACCATACGCCTCCCGCCTCACGAACCTGATCAGTTAACATCTGTTTGGTACCTCTGAAATATGAGGCACTTCGTGTGCTTACATCCAGTCTCGCAAACTCCTTGTGTGACATGCTGTAGCTACACAGGGAGCATAGCTTGCACCTCAAGGAGAACTGGCAGCGAGCTGCAGGTGGAAGCAGTGGGTCAGCTATGGTACACGTGCAATGCTACGCCCTGTAGCTCTGCCCCACTGCATCAAGCAACACAGCAAGAATGCATGTGTGACAGAGCATCTCCAACGTGGTTGTCACCTATCCAGTGCATTTCCAGAGGAACCAGGTCTTTCTTGCACCTTACCACCTCGAAGAGTTGTCTGGACTTACAGGCCACTTCCCTTTTGCGTAGATGCTCCGACTCCTCCTGCGTTATTGCCATCAGCTGTTCCATCCTTATTCTGCCAAAGAAACAAGAACAATTCAGCCACTCCTTCAAACAAGCACTATCTCGCTTCTCCTCTACCCACCCAGCTCAGAACATAAAGGCTGGGCAGATTCACCCTGCCACCTGCTCAGGAAAGCCATGTGCTTATCAGAGACACAAAAGTCTCAGTGATTTCTTGGTAAGGAACCTCTAAGTCTATGGGAGACAACATAAATTTTGCTCAAAACCATGGGGACAACTGCTTCTTAGACTGGAAAGCTGATCTTTCTGAGAAACAGAACACCTATGCAACGTGCATACACTCTCACCAAACACGGTGCCAGTCCCTTTTTTTGCTTTTCTTTCTCTTGAGGCTTGACAAGCACTTTAAAGCTGACCTAAGTGAGCAGTGCCACTGAAAGCAGCAGCCTGGCCTCCATTCCCACCTCCCCTGTCCTTGTCCCAGCATAAACACATACAACGCCACTTAACAGATCAGGAACTGGTTTGGCTGCAAAACTATCTGACCATACAAGGGGAATATTTTCAGCCAGGTCAGTGTCCCCATCCAGTTTACTGCGCCACAGCACAAAGAGTTGACTGAAGGGAGGAGGCAGCATATCGGCAGGGGAGAGTTGGGGACAACTACTTTTGGTGGCAAAGCTAGCTCAGAGTGTTGGCTGAATGGCAGCATTGCTTTCAACATATTCCTCCCAGCCTGCACACATTACTGGACCATCTTCATAAATGCCTGGCTTTCCAACAGATGTAGGATTTCTGTTGGTCCTTGACAGTGGAATACAGGGTTTTGTTCCCCAACTCCTTAGCTAGGACCATTCTGAGATGAAAAAGAGGTAAAATCACCATCCCATTGGGTTTGCCAGACTGGGTAAGACCAGGCACATCTAGTCCAGTGTCTTGCCTCCAACAGTGACCAGAACCAGCTGCAGGTATGAGATGAACCTCCCCTGACTTAAGGTGGATTCGGACTGGTGGCTCTGAAAGGAAGGTCCCAGCCCTCTTCCCAGCTTCTTGCCCCTTTTCCAGAAGAGCTTATTTCAAGGAGACTCACCTCTCATTCTCCAAGGATTTCAGAATGTCTGAACTTTGGTTTTGCCTAAAAAAAGATAAAACAAGAGGTTTTCATCAAGCTGAGCAGGACATCCTACTCCCCCAGAGGGCAGAAAACGACTTTGCTTCTCATGCACAGAAGAGCGGCTTTAAGCAGGCTGGTAACCTTGCGTCAGCACAGCCCAGCAGGAGATCCAGCAGATCTAGGCAGTGGTACCTTCAAATACTTCAAATATGCACCTTCCATGAGGAATTCAAATTTTTTTCACAGCACTGCAAAACTCCAACAGCACACATATGTGTGAAACACAATTTTTCAAGGTGTCAAATTCCACTTCCTTTAAATGGGACTTTGGCAGTTCAACAGCTAAGGCATCACCTACAGACATCGATCCCGACCAGTTCCCTAACACTCAGAAAGGGCAAAATGAACGGCTCAGAATGGGACAAAATAACACGAGACCCCGAGGGACAGGGATCACTGCAAGACTCCCTGGGACCCTACCTCTGGTTGTCCTCTAGCAGCTTCTGGATACGGCTGGCAATGCCTTGCTCCGCTTGCTTCAACTGCTGCAGCAGCTTCAGGCGCTCCTCCTCCAAATAGCGTTGGTGCTTCGTCAGACCCTCCTCCAGCCTCATCTGGTCCTAGGCCAAAGCAAGAGAGAACCAAAGGAGAAAGTGGTCAGTTTAGGAAAAGCAGTGTCTTTGGCCTGCCCAGAGGAGACCTACCTCTCTCACTGTCTGCAGTATCTCATCCTTCTGACTGTTGATCTGCTGAACAAGCAGAGCATGTTCTCTTTGCCCCATGTTCAGGCGCCGCTCAAATTCCAGCTTCTCTTGCATTTTTTTTTCCTGAGAGGAGCAAGAAGAAAGATGAATGCCAGAAATCAGTAGAGTGCTGGCTCTGTTCCTTCCCAAGCAAGAACAAATTCTGGCAAAAACGTAAAACGAGGCACAGTAATCCCCTCGACTACAAGAAAGCAAGCCAAATGGCAAACAGGAGGCTTGACTAGGGGATGGAAATATTCTCTCTTTAGGAACCCAAAAATTGTGAAGCAGAAGCTGCTGCTCTCTTTATGACAGTCTCCAAACTCCCCACAACTCATTTCAAAGTCACGAAGCCGAAGTCCATGGGCATCAACCCATACAACTGAAACAGCCAATACAAACACCCAGAGGGAAGCCCAAAATTAAGGTTGTGTTCAATTCCAGATGGCAAGGGGATTCCCTGTCTGAAGACAACAGACTGAAGGCAGCAGCCAGCTACGAGCAGCTCTAGCCAAGGGGAGAGTTGAACTGCGTGACAGGAGCTTCTGCTTATTTCAAAGTGAGCCTTGCACAGAGGAAGAGACAAAGACCAGTGAAAAAAAAATAGAAAAGCAAACTAAAAATGCAGCCAGGTGAGGGGAACGGAGGACAGAAACAAGGAATGCTA